CCTTGTGGTCTCTTCCAACTCTATGATTCTATGATTCTATGATAAGCAAATTATGTCTGTTCTCCTGTCAGTTGGGATGCAGCAAACTGAAGCTCCTTCCATGAACAAACTCTGGTGTGAGGACAAATTGTGACAGGGATCCTGTCACACAGAGATAGCTCATGGGACAGATTGGAAATGTGAGTCTGTTGTGCCTCAATCAACAGGAGAACAGACTCCCCCCACATGCAGGAGCAGCTCCTCAGCAACCCAGGATTGGGGGGTGGGGGTGGGTTTCTGGTCAAGATTTGCTACTTAATTAATTATACTAAGTAGCTGATCTAGAATTTTGGATTGTGTTTTTAAGAGCCATCAGAAATGTTATTGCCATTTCTGTTCATCATAAAAACCTGAGCAAGATGGCAAAACTATAGCACACAGTAGCTAATCTGAAAGATACTAATTTCTTGTTCTTCTTGTTGTTAACTGCCTTCAAGTCAACCATAAATATAAATTCCCAGTTCAGTGCTTCTTGGAACATCTCCACTGACATATACTGACCAGGAGATCAGTTTTCAGTGCCATGACATGGTGCTGAACAAGGAGTTAGACAGTGAATTTTAAAATTCTAAATACCTAAGCTATTTTGAGAATGGTCCACCACTGATGTGCTCCCTGGAAATGTTTTTATGGTTTCCACCTAAAGCATGACCAGTACTGGGCATTTGAGAAAGGATGAACATCTAGATTCTATCCTCCATGTACTGTAATTAATGCAAGACCCAGCATGCTGCAACAGAATTGAAAATACCCTCCTTTTCAGCTGAACATCATGGGTCATACAGAGAACAATGTGTGTTTTCTTGGTGTGTGGATGATGAGCCTGAAATCATAATAAGTACATTCAAGTATCTGTCTACTGAAACGTTCTTCAAGGATTTCTTTCCTATCCAGAAAGTCCATTTCTGCTCAGCTCTTCAGCTTCTCTGATGTGATGAATTTTGCATTTTCAGTCTTCTGATTTAGAGAACACTCGCTCTTTGGAACTTGCATTATTATCAATGTGATAATATGTATATAACTTCCTCCTAGAATATATATGTTTGGCTTCATTTTTGTTGGCTTTTAAACAGGACTTGAAAATGAAACCCACTTGTTTCAGTCTAATATCTGTTAAGATGTTAGGCCAAGTTTTTGGTTATTTAACTAGCAAAAATTCAAAGCTTGCAATCTCACCCTGTGCTATTTCTCTTTTCCCACCATCTCTGTTTCTTTCTTGCTGGGCTTTCCTGTCCTCCAGCCCAGTGCTCAGGCAGCCTGTACCAGCTCCAAATGGGTTAGACACTCTTTTTTGTTGTTGTTCTCTTTTCTCATGGATTCTACATAAAATTTGGAGACATGAAAAACCCAACAAGAGGATTAACTGCAGTGAATTGCACACAAGTAGCTTCATAGGATTTTCAACATTGTTGTTGTTGTTGTTGTGCTCCTTCATGTCCTTTTTGACTTGATGGTCTTGGCTCTTTTAGAATTTTCTTCCAAAAGGCCCCACTTCAATCCTTTCTCAAATTCCCAAAAACCAGGATAGATAGATAGATAGATAGATAGATAGATAGATAGATAGGTAGATAGCATGCCCATTCAGTGTGCTATCCTGCCACATCTTTCTGTTCAATTCCCAGTTT